TCATTTCAACTCCTTTCAACTCCTTTCAACTCTCTTCAGCTCCTTTCAACTCCTTTCAACTCCTTTCCTTTCAAATCCTTTCAACTCTCTTCAGCTCCTTTCAACTCCTTTCAACTCCTTTCCTTTCAACTCTCTTCAGCTCCTTTCAACTCCTTTCAACTCCTTTCAACTCCTTTCAACTCCTTTCAACCTCCTTTCAACTCCTTTCAACTCCTTTCAACTCCTTTCAACTCCTTTCAACTCCTTTCAACTCCTTTCAACTCCTTTCAACTCCTTTCAACTCTCTTCACCCCTTTCACTCCTTTCAACTCTTTCACTCCTTTCAACTCCTTTCAACTCCTTTCAACTCCTTTCAACTCCTTTCAACTCCTTTCAACTCCTTTCAACTCCTTTTCAACTCCTTTCAACTCCTTTCAACTCCTTCAACTCCTTTCAACTCTTTCACTCCTTCACTCCTCCTTCATCACTCCTTTCACTCCTTTCAAACTCCTTTCAACTCTCTTCAGCTCCTTTCAGCTCCTTTCAACTCTCTTCAGCTCCTTTCAACTCCTTTCAACTCTCTTCAGCTCCTTCACATTTCAACTCAATTTCAACTCCTTTAAAGTTCCTTTCAACTCCTTTCAACTCCTTTCAACTCCTTTCAAACAATCCTTTCAACTCTTTCGCTCCTTTCAACTCCGTTCCTTTCATCCTTTCAACTCTCTTCAGCTCCTTTCAACTCCTTTCAACTCTCAACTTTCAACTCCTTTCAACTTTCACTTTCAGCTCCTTTCAACTCCTTTCAGCCCTTCAACTCAACTCCTTTCAACTCTTCAACTCCTTCAAAACCCTTCTCCTTCAGCTCCTTTCAAACTCCTTTCAACTCCTTTCAAACCTTTAACTCCTTTCAACTCCTTTCAACTCCTTTCAACTCCTTTCAACTCCTTTCAACTCCTTTCAACTCCTTCAACTCCTTTCAACTCCTTTCAACTCCTTTCAACTCCTTTCAACTCCTTTCAACTCCTTTCAACTCCTTTCAACTCCTTTCAACTCCTTTCAACTCTCTTCAACTCTCTTCAGCTCCTTTCAGCTCCTTTCAACTCTCTTCAGCTCCTTTCAACTCAAGCTCCTTTCAAATCCTTTCAACCCTCTTCAGCTCCTTTCAACTCCTTTCAACTCCTTTCCTTTCAACTCTCTTCAGCTCCTTTCAACTCCTTTCAACTCCTTTCAACTCCTTTCAGCTCCTTTCAACTCCTTTCAACTCCTTTCAAATCCTTTCTGCTCTCTTCAGCTCCTTTCAACTCTCCTTTCAAATCCTTTCAACTCCCTTCAGCTCCTTTCAACTCCTTTCAACTCCTTTCAACCCCTTCAGATCCTTTCAACTCCTTTCAACTCCTTTCAACTCCTTTCAACTCCTTTCACTCCTTTCAACTCCTTCAGCTCCTTTCAACTCCTTTCAATCCTTTCAACTCCTTTCAACTCCTTTCAACTCCTTTCACCTCCTTTCAACTTTCCTTTCAGTTCCTTTCAACTCCTTTCAACTCCTTTCAACTCCTTTCAACCTTTCAACTCCTTTCAGCTCCTTTCAACTCCTTTCAACTCCTTTCAACTCCTTTCAACTCCTTTCAACTCCTTTCAACTCCTTTCAACTCCTTTCAACTCCTTTCAGCTCCTTTCAACTCCTTCAACTCCTTTCAACTCCTTTCAACTCCTTCAACTCCTTTCAACTCCTTTCAACTCCTTTCAACTCCTTTCAACTCCTTTCAACTCCTTTCAACTCCTTTCAACTCCTTTCAACTCTTTCAGCTCCTTTCAACTCCTTTCAACTCCTTTCAACTCCTTTCAGCTCCTTTCAATTCCTTTCAACTCTCTTCAGCTCCTTTCAACTCCTTTCAACTCCTTTCAACTCTCCTCAGCTCCTTTCAACTCCTTTCAACTCCTTTCAACTCTCTTCAGCTTTCAACTCCTTTCAACTCATTTCAACCTCCTTTCAACTCCTTTCAAAGCTCCTTTCAGCTCCTTTCAACTCCTTTCAACTCCTTTCAACTCCTTTTCTCCTTTCAACTCCTTTCAACTCCTTTCAACTCCTTTCAACTCCTTTCAACTCCTTCACTCCTTTCAACTCCTTTCAACTCTCTTCAGCTCCTTTCAATCCTTTCAAATCCTTTCAGCTCCTTTCAACTCCTTTCAACTCGCTTCAGCTCCTTTCAACTCCTTTCAACTCCTTTCAACTCCTTTCAACTCCTTTCAACCTTTCAACTCCTTTCAACTCCTTTCAACTCCTTTCAACTCCTTTCAACTCCCTTCAACTCCTTTCACTCCTTTCAACTCCTTTCAACTCCTCTTCAACTCCTTTCAACTCCTTTCAACTCCTTTCAACTCCTTTCAACTCTCTTCAACTCCTTTCAACTCCTTTCAACTCCTTTCAAATCCTTTCAACTCTCTTCAGCTCCTTTCAACTCCTTTCAACTCTCTTCAACTCCTTTCAACTCTCTTCAACTCCTTTCAACTCCTTTCAGCTCCTTTCAACTCCTTTCAACTCCCTCCTTTCAACTCCTTTCAACTCCTTTTAACTCCTTTCAACTCCCTCCTTTCAACTCCCTTCAGCTCCTTTCAACTCCCTTCAGCTCCTTTCAACTCCTTTCAAATCCTTTCAACTCTCTTCAACTCCTTTCAACTCCTTTCAACTCCTTTCAACTCCGATCAAATCCTTTCAACTCTCTTCAGCTCCTTTCGACTCCTTTCAACTCCTTTCAACTCCTTTCAACTCCTTTCAACTCTCTTCAGCTCCTTTCAACTCCTTTCAACTCCTTTCAAATCCTTTCAACTCTCTTCAACTCCTTTCAACTCCTTTCAACTCCTTTCAACTCCTTTCAACTCCTTTCAACTCCTTTCAACTCCTTTCAACTCCCTTCAACTCCTTTCAACTCCTTTCAACTCCTTTCAACTCCTTTTCAACTCCTTTTCAACTCTCTTCAACTCCTTTCAACTCCTTTCAACTCCTTTCAACTCCTTTCAACTCCTTTCAAATCCTTTCAACTCTCTTCAGCTCCTTTCAACTCCTTGCAACTCCTTTCAACTCCTTTCGACTCTCTTCAGCTCCTTTCAACTCCTTTCAACTCCTTTCAACTCCTTTCAACTCCTTTCAACTCCTTTCAACTCCTTTCAACTCCTTTCAACTCCCTTCAGCTCCTTTCAACTCTTTTCAACTCCTTTCAACTCCTTTCAACTCCTTTCAGCTCCTTTCAACTCTCTTCAGCTCCTTTCAACTCCTTTCAACTCCTTTCAACTCCTTTCAACTCATTTCAACCCCTTTCAAATCCTTTCAACTCATTTCAACTCCTTTCAGCTCCTTTCAACTCTCTTCAGCTCCTTTCAACTCCTTTCAACTCCTTTCCTTTCAACTCCTTTCAACTCCTTTCAACTCCTTTCAACTCCTTTCAACTCCTTTCAACTCTCTTCAGCTCCTTTCAACTCTCTTCAGCTCCTTTCAACTCTCTTCAGCTCCTTTCAGCTCCTTTCAACTCTCTTCAGCTCCTTTCAGCTCCTTTCAACTCTCTTCAGCTCCTTTCAGCTCCTTTCAACTCTCTTCAGCTCCTTTCAGCTCCGTTCAACTCTCTTCAGCTCCTTTCAGCTCCGTTCAACTCTCTTCAGCTCCTTTCAGCTCCTTTCAACTCTCTTCAGCTCCTTTCAGCTCCTTTCAACTCTCTTCAGCTCCTTTCAGCTCCTTTCAACTCTCTTCAGCTCTTTTCAACTCTCTTCAGCTCCTTTCAACTCTCTTCAGCTCCTTTCAACTCTCTTCAGCTCCTTTCAGCTCCTTTCAACTCTCTTCAGCTCCTTTCAGCTCTCTTCAGCTCCTTTCAGCCCCTTTCAACTCTCTTCAGCTCCTTTCAACTCTCTTCAGCTCCTTTCAACTCTCTTCAGCTCCTTTCAGCTCCTTTCAACTCTCTTCAGCTCCTTTCAGCTCCTTTCGACTCTCTTCAGCTCCTTTCAACTCTCTTCAGCTCCTTTCAGCTCCTTTCAACTCTCTTCAGCTCCTTTCAGCTCCTTTCAACTCTCTTCAGCTCCTTTCAACTCTCTTCAGCTCCTTTCAGCTCCTTTCAGCTCTCTTCAGCTCCTTTCAACTCTCTTCAGCTCCTTTCAGCTCCTTCAGCTCCTTTCAGCTCCTTTCAACTCTCTTCAGCTCCTTTCAGCTCCTTCCAACTCTCTTCAGCTCCTTTCAGCTCCTTTCAGCTCCTTTCAACTCTCTTCAGCTCCTTTCAACTCTCTTCAGCTCCTTTCAGCTCCTTTCAGCTCCTTTCAGCTCCTTTCAGCTCTCTTCAGCTCCTTTCAGCTCCTTTCAACTCTCTTCAGCTCCTTTCAACTCTCTTCAGCTCCTTTCAGCTCCTTTCAACTCTCTTCAGCTCCTTTCAGCTCCTTTCAACTCTCTTCAGCTCCTTTCAGCTCCTTTCAGCTCCTTTCAGCTCCTTTCAGCTCCTTTCAACTCTCTTCAGCTCCTTTCAACTCTCTTCAGCTCCTTTCAGCTCCTTTCAACTCTCTTCAGCTCCTTTCAGCTCCTTTCAACTCTTTTCAGCTCCTTTCAGCTCCTTTCAACTCTCTTCAGCTCCTTTCAGCTCCTTTCAACTCTCTTCAGCTCCTTTCAGCTCCTTTCAACTCTCTTCAGCTCCGTTCAACTCTCTTCAGCTCCTTTCAACTCCTTTCAACTCCTTTCAGCTCCTTTCAGCTCCTTTCAACTCTCTTCAGCTCCTTTCAACTCCTTTCAACTCCTCTTCAGCTCCTTTCAACTCCTTTCAGCTCCTTTCAACTCCTTTCAGCTCCTTTCAACTCCTTTCAACTCTCTCCAGCTCCTTTCAACTCCTTTCAGCTCCTTTCAACTCTCTTCAGCTCCTTTCAGCTCCTTTCAACTCTCTTCAGCTCCTTTCAGCTCCTTTCAACTCTCTTCAGCTCCTTTCAAATCCTCGTGGTCTTGTCCGACCCGTTGTCCCTCGACGATCTGTTGTTTTTCGAGCCGTCGTTCCGAGGCGAGGAGGGAAAGGAGGTGCCTCCGGCGGCTCCGGCGATGGGGTGAGCCCAAGGATGCCCCGTAGACGCCCCGTAGACGGATGCCCTGTAGACAGATGCGTAAGAAAAGTGTGGTGTTTTTTCAGGATGTAAATTTCGTTTGCTAAAACAATTATGGTTTATGCTGATATATGCTGATGGAGTAATATTATCTTACTATTCTATAGATGCACTAAATTAATGAAACTTATGATAAACCTTGTTCATCGTCATTTCTTACATGCTTCTGTTTGTTCAAGTGTTAAACCAGTATGCATTTCTTCATTTTACACTGACACTTTCCACAGACATGAACTGTCACTATGTCTTTCTTTCTTCATAATGTTCCGACATCCACTTCTGATGTATTTCTAACTCGTTCTCTCTACTCTTAAGATATTCCCTATCTTTTTCCGAGCGCTTTAAAACAATATTAATTCACACAATCAAGTTCCACTACACCTGTTACAATATCTTTTTATTCCTGTACTTTCCCTAGGTAATACGTCTTCAAGACCATTTTAATACTCAACATGTTTAAAAGTAGATACGTTTTCCCCTCACCTCTTTCAAGCCTCAGTTCAACATCACGCTGTGCATGGACAAAAACTCCTGCACCAGGTGGTAATTAGCGAGGTCACTTTGAAACCCTGTAAATAAACTGGTTACATGGGATAACAATGGGATAAACCATCTACCAACTGGTGCAGGATTTTGTCCATCCACAGCAAGTCTCAGCATTGAAATTTTATTTGGAAGACTTGTGGATTAGTCTTCCCTTTCTTGTTATTTCAACTTTATCAGTTCAATGTGTTTCTTCGTGTTTCTGTGTCTTCCAATGCTTGACCTTACTGAGGAACAACCAGTCTCACAAGGAATGGGTTCTATTTTCTTGACATCCAATCCATTTCTGTTGTCCTTTGGGTATTTTAAAATATTTGTTTCTTCTTTTTTCGTGTGGTCTTTATTATTTATTCTGTTTTTCTTTCTTTTCTTCTTTGTGATTTTCACGATAGCATTTGGTTGCGGCCTTAGCTTGTTCTGAGTGATTTTGATTATATTCCACATCTCCCTTTGTATGTTTTGTTGATAATCAGACTGATTTCATTGCATCCTTACATGAACTCATTGACGTAGTCCATCGTTTGAACTATTTCACATAGTCATGTATTCTTCTGTTCCCTTTTTCTTTTCATTTCTTCTAGACTTTCAGCAACTCATGACGCATTGAAGGCCTTGGATAATCAGCCAGCTATTTTTTTCTTCCTAATCTTTCAGCAGTCTCTTGAACAGTATACTCACCTTTCAAAAAATGTGTTGTCTCTTTTCCAGTCATTGCATTCTTTCTCAAGATCTTGACTTTCCCTTAATTTTGACTTCATCAACATCTATCTCCGGAGATATAGCTTATCCATGCAGAACTCTTTCTTTGCTCTCCGTTTCTTACTGATTTAAACTTTCGGATGTCCTCGCGCCGCTCGTATGGTTTACAATCCGATTGCTCAGCGCCCACTTGCTGAGTCAAAGAGATGTGCGATGTGAAAGAGATGTCAAAGGAATAAAACGAACTGGGAAGAGGAATTATGAAGGGACGCCGAGGGAGATGCTTAGAGAAAGGGATTTCAACAGAAACCGATGCCAAGAGAAAGGCATGTAGATAGAAAGAGCTGTCAAGAGAAACAGACCAAAACAAGCGTTCCAAATGTTCCAAGACAAGGCGATGCTAAAGTAACAAGTCAAGAGAAAGACATGCCGAGAGAATCATATTTCCACAGAGATTTCAAGAAAGGAGATGTCAAGAGAAAGGGGTGCCAAGAAGATGAAACGTTAAGATTCAGAGCTGCCAAGGAAAAAAATGTCAAAAAGATAGATGCCTCATGATGCCTCAAGAAAAAGAGATGCCAAGAGACGGGGATGTCAAGAGAAAGAGGTGTCAACGAAAAAATGGCCCAGGAGAAATAGGTGTCCAGAGCCGCATCAGAAAGAGTTGCTAACAGAAAGAGATGTAAAAAGAACGGGATTCAAAGCGAAAAACAATGACCTGGAGAAAAACTGTGGGAACCAGCTGGGTTACGCAGCTGGTCACGCTGCGTTTCTACAGGCATTTCTTGAATAGGCTTACCTTGGAGACTTCAGCCACTTGCCTTGCCAGGGCTCTTGCATTTTCTAGTTTGCCACCCGACTCCCATAACTCAAGCATGATTCCATTGCCATTGTGCAAGTAAAGGAGAAGAAGTTGCAAGTTACCACTTACCAAGCGCACTCCTGTGACATGCTGAAGTTTAGAACAGAAAAGACAAAACAGTAGCAACCCATTGTTATGTGAATTTACCATAATGTAACAAAACAACTACATTTTGTCATTGTGTTCACTTGTCATGATCGTACATGATAGTCACGCGGTCACATTCGCTCATGTTGCGTGCCATATGTGCCATATGTGCCATGTTGCGTGCCACGACCTGCACAGGCACCGTCTTCCAGATGCAGGGCGCTGGCGGCGATTGGTGCGGTTCCCGCACGTCATGGGATGCCAGTTTTTTCGAACCACCACCATCGGTCATCGAACACCCACACGAACAACACGGACACCCTATATTAGCCTATAGTATAATATATTATATCTCAAATTTTGGTGGGTGATAATGTTTGTTATGTCATCATTTTTTGGATATGTCCATTTCACTGTGACCCTTCCATAGTTTGACACGCACAGATGTTCTATCTTTAAGCTGCCCACGCACCCACACAATATTGCAAGATGCTGGGATCGGGTGGGGTAATGGGATGACATTGATCTTCACTTGCACTTGAAAACAGGGAATGCTATGTTTGCTATGTAGTGGATGGTTGGCACGGAGTTGCAACATTCGGCAAGACATCTACAGTGTTTTTTTGCAGTGCATGGGATGTGTTTTTCACAGGCTTTCGAAGCACATTTCAACTGTACATCCGTTCTTTCTCATTCTCTCTTGTGTTCAGTCCGTGCTCTGTCTGTTTGGTGCTTCATGTAGTGTGACAGCACCGCTCTGGTCATGTGGCCTGTGTCCTTCTGGGTGTTCTCTACTTCTTTCATCTTTCGGATTCTCTCCGTGATGATTCCATCCTCGTCTGCAAGTGTTGCGAGAAATTCAGATATGATCCTTTTCCCACACCCGATGGACCCAAGGTCGCTGCGTTTTGGCACCAAGCGAAAAGAAACGCTATCAGAAGAGGAGGCAAAGTTGGCTGGGTTACGGTTGCAGGGTTGGAAAGGATCTGGACATTTCCCACGTGTGTTGAAATGTCATGGTATTTGTTTGTATTTGGATGGTTTCCAAGAAATGTGTCTGATTGGGTTGTCGTGTTTTTATTTTTGCCTGCCACAAGGAGTTGCAGCTTTCACTGATCAGAACCAAGAATATCACCGGTTTTGAAAGTTTGCACTGAAGTCACAGACTTGTTACACATATTTGTTGGACATAGTTGTTACTCTTTTTGTTACCCCACGTGTTCCACTGTTAACACAGTTTGCAGCCACGCTGTTTTCACATGTTTGTAGCCACGCTGTTTTGATTGGCCCGGTCCTAGGTTTTTGGCCCTGCCAAGACACGGTCGACGAGTGGCATCGATTTTGACAAATACGATGCCATTCCCGTGCAGGTCCAGGCCCTAGAAGCCCCCCGAATTCAAAACGAAAGTTCGGCCGCACCCAAAATCTGCAAACAGTGAGGTTGAACCGGTTGAACTATAGAACAACTATAGAAATTTCCATGAAATTTCTCACTTTCCTTTGGGAATCGGGATTCCATCGAAACCTGATGCAATTGATGCAATTGGTGCAATTGATGCAATTGATGCAATTGATGCAGTGATGCAGAACTGATTGTGAACTGATTGTCAGATATTGTCACGGTGCTGAAATGAGACAAAGTGCTGATGGCCGCTGGTGCTCTCCAGCTGGTTCTCCTTTTGCACCTGTTCCCTGAGTTCCCTGTGTATCAGGTTCAGGGGACCGGAAGGGATCAGCACTTTCCTTGGGAGTTGGGACACGTGTTCGTGGGATTTCCTGGGTCCGATTTCGTGGGCACTCTGGTTTCTCCTTGACACAGTTCCAATTGAAACCGTTCAAGGTCAAGGGGTGAAATCGGGTGAAAATTGAGAAGAAACAAAGAGGATAGCTGTTCTGCTCGTACCACAGGCCTGGTAGTTTGCGTATTTTGGCGGTGGAACATGAGAAGCAATGCCATTCGACCTGCCTGGCCAACATATGTTGCAATTTTCCCCGGATTTGCCCGGCAGAACCTCATGGCTGCATACCGGACCCAGAAAACGTTGCAATGCAACCTGCAAGAGGATTGAAATGCACGTCTAGGGCATATTTCCTTGTGCGGCCTATTGTAATCAATGTTTTGATGTGCTTCAACTTTGTCTTCTCAACTGTCCATAATTTGCATTTGCTTCAATCCCAATTTCCTATCATGTTTCGTAATGTGCAGTCGGGCATACAGTTGTCCATGTGAAATTCTTACTTCAGATCAATCAGTGCTTTTGTCCTTCATGGATGCACTTCATCAACCCTCATGACATCTTTCCATTTCAATGCACTGCGGCTCTACGATCCACCAGCGGATCCCTTGAGCATGCAATTGCTATGTGCCATGGACCTGGCACATTCCTAAGGTGAAAAAGGCAGCGATCTTTGCACCCGATCGTGACTCACAGCACTTCAGCCGTGTGCATCACGAGTTGGTAGCGCGGAGCCGGTTCCAGGGCGATGCCAACGTGGTCGAAGGACTCCGATGCCAAGCACTTCGTGTGATTAATGAGATGAGAGCATCACAGATCATCCGGCGTGCACTTTGCGAAAGACCAGGTCCAACAAGGACGAGTCCAAGAATATCCTTCCTGGATCACTGGCTGCGTGTTGGAGGTGGACGAAGCGATCCTCTGGGAAGAAACGTGGAGGCTACGTTCTTGGCCGTTTGCTTCTACATGATGCCGACGGGAAATCGGCTTTGATGCAAGCTGGTTCCACTACTGTGCAGGTGGCCTATGAACAATTGCGTCCTGCATATGGGCTGGAATCATGGACACCAAGTATGTGACATCCGAGCCTTGAAAAGCTGTGAGAAGACACTCGCAGCAGGTATGTGGGAAGACCACTGTGGACCCGGGCCTGCAGATGATGAGCCCCTCGAGCCAGAGATTGCGGCTCCTGTGCACCGAAGATGTCTAGATGTTTCCTGCAAAACCTGCAGAACCTGTTCTACTTCTTGGAGAGCCACCATCACCAGTTCCATCACCATCAACTCCACCACAACCAATGCAAGATACATTACCAGTACCACTTGAACATCCAAAACAGTCAGAGCATTTGCATTACGCGCCAACATACCATCACAATGTCCGACAGGACTTTCATCAACATATTTCTATTGGCGATGGCTTGGAGAGAAATGTTCGACCACGGTTCGAAACAGAAGCAGAAGAATTTCAAAACCAACTACGACAAGCTCAACTACACCAACAACCTCGCGCGCCACAACCACTTGATGAATTTGTTCAACAACAACTACTTGAACCAGAGACACCACAACCGCCACCATTACCCGAAACAACAGAAAGAACAGCCATAGAAGTAAATGATGAGACAATGCAACCAGAACCACCTGTGCCACCAATTCCAACACCCGCCACAGCATCAGCTGCAGCACCACCATCATTACCACCGGTCCCTACCAGTCAAGGAAGCTCACAACCAACACCACTGATCAGCAGCAGTACATCACATACTAACGACTCAGCAGCATCACGTTCTCTGATTGCCTCACACCTGCCAAAGATGTGGAGTCATAGATGGAGCTACTACAGCTTTGTGGGCTGATATCCTGACAAATGCAGCTTTGTATTTTTTTCAGCAAGGGCTACGCAAGCCATATGTGATGTTGGTTGATGAATGAGAAAAACACAACTGTGAAATTCTTTCTTCAGATCAATCAGGGCTTTTGTCCTTCATGGATGCACTTCATCAACCCTCATGACATCTTTCCATTTCAATGCACTGCGGCTCTACGATCCACCAGCGGATCCCTTGAGCATGCAATTGCTATGTGCCATGGACCTGGCACATTCCTAAGGTGAAAAAGGCAGCGATCTTTGCACCCGATCGTGACTCACAGCACTTCAGCCGTGTGCATCACGAGTTGGTAGCGCGGAGCCGGTTCCAGGGCGATGCCAACGTGGTCAAAACATGCCACGTCAAGTTGGACGAGCAACTCCAACCGAATCTCGAGCCCTTAGATATCGACGAATTTGACCTAAGGAGCAACAACTCGCTGAACTTCTGGTATGACGAAGTTGACAATGCTGACCGGTCATGTTATGACGAATCCACCTGGTTGTGCGTCGGGCGTCGAAATGCGGCTGCCGGAAACGTTACGATAGGTTTTTGGACGTGTGCAGCATGCTGTTCGACAGGCTTTTTTGATTCTATGCAGCCTGCAAAACATCAGACAGAACAAGGAACTTGGGTCTTTGTGCCAACGGGTGGTGGAGGAACTCGCAGTCCTCCATCCTCTAAGGTGTCTCAACCACGCCATCGCCATCGACGCCGAGGTCGACAAGGACCTCCTCCGTCTGACCCAGATGATGCTGGAGATGACCACGGCGAGGGTGCAGAATCTGAGATACGAACGCATGACCCAACTGTCGATGTGACACCTGCTGGGATCCGTGAATCATCAACAACGTCATGAACACCTGACATCAGCAAGCTGACCAGATTGAAGCGTTGACAGCAGCAATTCAACGATTGGGAGCTCAACTGATTTCTGGGTTAGTGCTATGGGACCACAGAGAGGTGTACGTTGGCGGAGTGGTGCCCCTCCGCAACCGCCATCTTGGACCTACAACTCTTCTGATTTGCTACAACTCTTCTGATTTGCGCGCGTACGAAAAATTTGAGCAAAAGCGAAAGGTCAAAATTTGGGAACTGCATGCGAAGCATTTCATGACAGAAGCAGAAATAGCATTGACACTGTATACATCGAAGGGGGAAGGAGAACAGGAATTGGAGTTCGTTGACATCACTACAATTTACAGGCGTGGTGGTGTTGATACAATTTTGTCTTTGTTGCGACAAGCATTCCGACAGAAGGCAGTGGCCCCAGAACAACAGAGACTCATCCTTGTCGGTTCTGGACAAAGTTTGTTTTTTGATGCAATCAAAGCCGCCCTTGATGTTGCAATTTCCTGAGCACAAGCCAGCTCCTCCGGTGGCTGGTAGAGATTCTATACCAATGGACCGTACCAGAAGGGCGCCGGTAAGTCGTCAGGTGCTACATCGTCTTCAACTTCGAATACATCCTCAACTTCTGGATACCAAGGAAAAGGCAAGGGCAAAGACAAAGGACCTCGAAAGGTTTTTGCTGATGAGGCCCAACCAGACACCACTCCTGAAGAAGTAGCTGAAGACGATGGAGAAGCTGCTGCAAACGAGGACGATGATGATCATGAAAGCGCAGAAGTTCTTGATGCCAACAACGATCAGATGGATGACCCTGACCCGAACAACGAGGAGAGCATCGATGACTTGACCCAAGTGCTGACTGTGACAGCACGCAAGCTCGCCAACATGACACTGGGGAGGAAGTTATCAGGTCAACTCAAGCGATCCATCCAGGACAAGAAGAAAGCGTCAATCTGCGCCGCATGTGGCCTCAAAGGTCGCTGGGCCGGTGACCCGGAGTGTGAAGTATCTGGCAATGTAGACGGCAAAGCTACTACATCGTCGTGTTCTATTACACCCTCAAAGGGCAAGAGCAAGGGCCAAAAAGGTCAATGGTCGCGAGGAAGCCAGCAATGTGAAAAAGGTGATGACCCTTCACCACAGCAGCGGATTCGACAACACCATTGAGTATCTACCTGAACAAGAACCATCTCACCCTCATTTCACCATGGTTTGCAACATTTCTTTTGTGTGTTTTTAAGCTGCCGTCACTGAAACCACGAATTACATGATCTTGGACTGCATGCCGACGTTCTTGCTGTGGAACTCAATGGATCGCACTGCAGGCAGAAAAGCTGGAAGCAGCGCGCCTCAAGATCGTCAAGCAGGCGAGCCACGAACAGTTTCAGTTCGGTGCTGGGGCGCCCATCAAATCACATGAGAAGAAAGCATGGGTTCCTGGTGCTATTGAACAATGTCGTTTGGTTTTTGGAGCCAATGTGGTGGACACCAACATTCCTTTTCTTGCCAGTTTGCGTGTTTTGAAGCGTTTAGGTGCAGTCATTGACCTCACACAGCAAGTTGGTTATTTCAGCACATTGGATGTCACCACCAAGCTCAAACGTGTTGGTGGCCATTTGGCAATTGAAATTACTGAGTATCCTGCACAACCACATCGATTGCGTGTTTGGACACAACTTGCAGGCAAGGGGTTTGATGATCCAGAAATTGCCACAGCTTTCACCTTGGAGCATGTCGACGAGTTCAGCATGTTGGCACCTATGGCTCCTTTAGCAATTCGATCACCTTCGCTTCTGTCTCTCCGCGATGCACGTCAATCCCGAGCTGAGGAAGCGATGGAAGAAGTTAACCAGAAAGCTGGTGGAGCTGGCAAAGGTTGCACCAATACACCCCGCCCCAGGCGACACACTGGACGATGACAAGGTGGACGGGTGAAGGGCAAGAACAAGTCCAAATCCCGTGCGCAGAAGGAGCTTAGTGCAGCAGAGATACATCGAAACGAGCTCCAGGAGACCTGCGCACACCCTCACTTCAACCGCCACGGCAACGTGCACGGGAGCTTTGCAACATGCCTCACTTGCCAGGCACGGCGGGGTTGGGTAGGAGCAGGGTGGAAATTGGATGGCTCTTGCTCCAAGTCATCATTGCCTCTACCGTCTTCCTCTACAACGGTGGACAGTTCGATCCCAACACCACCGAGTTGCCAGCCAGAACATCTTTCACTGCAAGGCTCCCAGGCGAAGAAGAAATGCGCTCCCAAGGTGAATCCCTTGCAGGCCTTGGGATACCAGCCAGTACCAGCCAGTCATGAAGAGTGGTGCCATCAGATCGAGACCACCTTCCATGACATCTTCAGCAGCGGGCCACGGACTCAAGTCGGAGGAGATGCAAGACCACGACCAGCTGCTGGACGAAGTGGACAGCCTCTACAGCTGGTCTCTGGACGAAGAAAGCGGTTGATCGGCGCCACCAACAAGGTCATTGAGTGCATGACTGCCGAAGGGAATGCCCTTCAAGCTCTCCCTCCAGAACGTGACAAGCGCAACTTTGCAGACTTGATGGAGCTCTATGCAGGTACGGCGAAGGCCACGTTGTTTTCCGCGCAGTATGGTTTCAATGCCGTTGAACCCTTTGACACGAATGAAGGCAAGGATTTGAACATGCCATCCAACAGCTTCGACCATTGCTTCTGCTGGTTGGTTTTCCCTGTACGTTGTGGAACTTTCTGAATGAAAACTGCAACTATTACCATCGCATGGAAGAGTTGGAGGCTATGCGAGAACTGCAGCGTCTTTTGCTGCGATGGACTTGCCAGCAGATCAAGAAGCAGGCGGAGAGGGGAAACTATCTCATCTTCGAAAGCTCACAACGTTGCCGTATTTGGGATGAAGCATGCGGCGCGGAACTATCTGAACTCCCTGGCGCCCAAGTTGTCGTTGCTGATGCAGGGGCATTTGGCGCAGTGGACCCCGACGGCTTCCCCATCATCAAGACGCACAAGTTTATTCTGAACAACTCAAACATGGCTTAGGCACTCCACCGACGATTCTCTGCTCAAGAACGTCAACTGTGCCGACCTTTGGAAGGCATCAATGTGACCTTGTCACAGGAGTACCCGGACGACATGGTAAGAGCCATTCTTCGAGCCCTCAAGCAGATCGCCAAGAAATTGTGCCCAAACAGATTTGATACTCATCAAGTGTGGGTGGCACAGCCTGTGGATGACCACGAGCTTTGGCGTAAACTGCTGAGCGAAGTGCACAACATGTTTGTCAACAGTGCCATCAAAACTTTGGTGCTTCAACCAGGACATGAGATCTACAACCAGATCGCCCACATGGTGCCATGGGAGCTAACCAGAGTTCAGTTGGCCATGGAGCCTATCACCCGGAGAATGCCTCGTCACATCGCTTTCACCCACCGTGGAGCAGCACTGCTTCACAACGACCAAACTATGTCACTAGAATGGGAAGATTTGAGCAACATCACATGTCCGAAGCAGCGATTTGGCACACCAGTCAATGCCGCGATCTTCTTTTTCAGCTTGCCTGACCCTCACAAACCATCATCTACACCAGCAGGACGAGAAGCTGATGCGGACGATCCAGACTCACGACTTCCAGTTCCAGGTCTCCGCACCGACATCACCTATCCCAATCCGCCCAAGACCCTGCCCAAGGAGGTGAAAGCTTCAGTGGCAAGGCTACATATCAACACTGGCCACGCCAACAAGAAGGAGCTGACGCGACTTCTTGCTGCACATGGATCCATCAACGGTCCAACTTTGACTGCCCTGGAGAACATGGTGTGCGGATCGCGCGAGAGGACGAAACCGCCTCCAGCGCCGCGACCAGCATCAATTCCACACTTCATGGGACAGGTTGGAGAGCGCGTTCAAATGGATGTGGTGTACGTGCGAGATCTTTCTGGCACGAGTCATCCTATCCTTGGCATTGCAGATTTAGCGCCTTCACTATACATCAAGCGGTTCGTCTATACAGTCGAGCCTCAACATATGTGGTGGATCAGTTTCGCAAATGCTGGCTGATGCCGTATGGATATCCACTTGTTTGTGAAGTTGATGCAGATGGAGCCTTTGAAGGCGATTTCCGTTTGCATATGGAAGAAGCTGGAGTTCATGTGGTGGTGATACCCCCAGAAGCGCACTGGAGGATTGGGACCATCGAGAGAAAGAACTCGGTGCTGAGAACAATGGTTGAACGATTGCTAGACGAGAATGCAGTGACCAGCGGCGAGGCTCTCGACTGGGTCCTCGTAGCAGCAGTCCAAGCGGCAAATTCAACAACTGGATCCAAAGGCAGAAGCCCATATCAGGCCGTTTTTTGCCGACTACCACGGTTTCCAGGCGATCTTTTTGGAGACGATCGGGCTTTAGCAGTTGCAGACAGCCAGTTGTTGGCCGAAGAGCTCCGATGCCAAGCACTTCGTGTGATTAATGAGATGAGAGCATCACAGATCATCCGGCGTGCACTTTTGCGAAAGACCAGGTCCAACAAGGACGAAGCGATCCTCTGGGAAGAAACGTGGAGGCTACGCTCTTGGCCGTTTGCTTCTACATGATGCATCGGCTTGGATGCAAGCTGGTTCCACTACCGTGCAGGTGGCCTATGAACAATTGCGTCCTGCATATGGGCTGGAATCATGGACACCAAGTATGTGACATCCGAGCCTTGAAAAGCTGTGAGAAGACACTCGCAGCAGGTATGTGGGAAGACCACTGTGGACCCGGGCCTGCAGATGATGAGCCCCTCGAGCCAGAGATTGCGGCTCCTGTGCACCGAAGATGTCTAGATGTTTCCTGCAAAACCTGCAGAACCTGTTCTACTTCTTGGAGAGCCACCATCACCAGTTCCATCACCATCAACTCCACCACAACCAATGCAAGATACATTACCAGTACCACTTGAACATCCAAAACAGTCAGAGCATTTGCATTACGCGCCAACATACCATCACAATGTCCGACAGGACTTTCATCAACATATTTCTATTGGCGATGGCTTGGAGAGAAATGTTCGACCACGGTTCGAAACAGAAGCAGAAGAATTTCAAAACCAACTACGACAAGCTCAACTACACCAACGACCTCGCGCGCCACAACCACTTGATGAAATTGTTCAACAACAACTACTTGAACCAGAGACACCACAACCGCCACCATTACCCGAAACAACAGAAAGAACAGCCACAGAAGTAGATGATGAGACAATGCAACCAGAACCACCTGTGCCACCAATTCCAACACCCGCCACAGCATCAGCTGCAGCACCACCATCATTACCACCGGTCCCTACCAGTCAAGGAAGCTCACAACCAACACCACTGATCAGCAGCAGTACATCACATACTAACGACTCAGCAGCATCACGTTCTCTGATTGCCTCACACCTGCCAAAGATGTGGGGTCATAGATGGAGCTACTACAGCTTTGTGGGCTGAAATCCTGACAAAAGAGGATATGCAGCTCTGTATTTCTTTTCAGCAATGGCTACGCAAGCCATATGTGATGTTGGTTGATGAATGAGAAAAACACAACTTTGAAATTCTTACTTCAGATCAATCAGTGCTTTTGTCCTTCATGGATGCTCTTCATCAACCCTCATGACATCTTTCCATTTCAATGCACTGCGGCTCTACGATCCACCAGCGGATCCCTTGAGCATGCAATTGCTATGTGCCATGGACCTGGCACATTCCTAAGGTGAAAAAGGCAGCGATCTTTGCACCCGATTGTGATTCACAGCACTTCAGCCGTGTGCATCGCGAGAGCCCAAACATGTTCAAACACTTTGGGGCCTGTTAGGGACCTATTTGGGACCTCGTCCTGAGGTCACAGGCGAAAATTGCGAGGACCTGAAGCCCATCGTCCGCTTTTCAGAGGCCACGATGTTTGTCGGTGACGCAGCGTCGTGACGCATCGTTTTATTCTTCATAATGCTTCCGATCCCTACGGTTTCCGACGACCCGTGGAACACACCGTGCTTTGTTATTTGCATCTGTTTGATCTGTTTGGAACTGTTTGGCACATGTGTTTTTTTTACTGAGGCAAAACTTGTAGATTCGTTGTTCGACAACTTGCGTCGATGTGGCTATGATCGTCCCACACCTGCCGAAAGCTTAGCAATAACCCAGTGTTTTGCAATGTTTTGCGAAACGTTTTGCGATCAATCTATCAGCAAACTTCGATATCTTCGTATCGAAACCATTCCTGTCACACTTTCACATGCTTTCAATCCACTTTCTGAGACAATGGCATGAGAAGTGTGCTCTTTTTGTCTCTCTTTTGTTTTTTTTTTTAAGGTGCAAAAGTATGCCATTCCAATTGTGCTGTCGGGCCGTGACCTGATGGCCTGTGCACAGACAGGCTCAGGCGGGGACAGACAACGGTTCCGCCGAAACCGCGGAATCCGAATGAAACGAAGCGCGGAGATGGGAAACGTTTCTCGTAGAAACGAATCGGAAAGATCCCGTAGCTATGGCCACATACGGCCACCAATGGTTTGAGACTTCCGAGGTCTGAACATTACCTTGGATTCTTAGATCAATTGGATCACGGTTTTTTTTGCAGAGAAACACGGGCACAGACGCGCAGAAACAGAGAAGCGGAATATGTGTATTGTGACAATTTGTGATCATTTGACCAGATCTCATATGGATCATATGGCATCCACTGATCGAGATCATTTGGAACATTCACAAGTGTGTCACACAGCCATCGATGACCTTACATTGATACCAGATCCACACTGATCCACACTGATTTTGACTGATCCACACTGCTTGATGTTGGGGTCTCAAATTCAATTCCTGTCGCCAAGTGTTGTCGAATGCAAATCCACTCCGAGAATTCAAGTTGCATATGAAACTGCAGCAATTAAATGTAATTAAGAGAGATTGAGACAACAATTCAGAGTTTCTTAAGAGGAAAACATCTTCTCTTGGTTCCAATACGAGTGGAAGGAGAAAGAAGAACAAATCTTTGCAAAAAACCAAGGGAAAACGCTCAGTTGGTCTTGTTTTTTTTGTCTTCCATTGAGCTTGTGCAAGGGACAGGGTGGTTGTTTTGACACGAAGTGCAAGATTACGTGACGTTAGTGGCTTAGGTGTGAAAAGGGAGTGACAGAGTGACAGGCATGGTACATCATGGTACCATATTTGAGGAGGTGGTACATCATGGTGCGTAAGTAAGGATGGTGTGTATGTGGTATTCTGTGGTCATTGGCAAACCTGAAGGCAATAGGCCCAGTGTTCCACTGAATCACAAGGCTATGCGCAAGATTTAGCAGAGAAATGCGACAAAAAAATGCATCCCAGCAAATCGCAGTAACAGGTGTGCTGCTGGGGGAGCTGTGCGCCCAAGCTTCAGTGCCCCAAAAAGCAACATAGCAAAGAACAGAATTCTTTACAAGATGTAAAAAGAATCAAAAAGATGTAAAACACCTGGGTTCATCCCCAAGAATGCCTTGCAGGTGCAAAACACACACAAGTGCGGATTTTTACCTGGTGTTTCGCGAGTAACACGAGATGGGAACATTTCATAGCAGAGCCTCGACGGTCTTCATGTCTGGAACCCTCCAAAGGGATGTCAAAAATGATGTCAAATGATATGACAGCAAATGATGTCAAACAAAGGCTTTTCAAATCATTATTCTCGCGTTTTCTTCGTTTTTTACAAGTTTCACTTGTCACTTATACTCACCTACAATACTCACCTATTCTCACCTTATGTTGTAACATGTTGTAACGGTAACTTTGTCATGTTGTCATGTTGTCATGTTGTCATGTTTCACGAAACACTGTCTCAAAATGTGAGTCTAAACAGCAACTTTACTGTCTCTCTTTGTGTTACATTTTATCAAAACAGAAAGAGACAGAGAGTTTCTAGAGAGTTTCTAGAGAGTTTCCAGTAAGTTTCTGTGACGTTTTACGCTTGTGTTCAATGACGTGAGTGTTCTCATCGAATGTAACACATTTACATTTGCAATTTGTGACAAATTTAGATGTATTGTTCTGTAGATTTACTTAGTTCTAATTATTATAATTGAATTTAGAATGTAGCTTAGTTGTAAATTCAATGTAGTAATTTTTAATTATGTAAAACATATTCTCGTTAAATTCACAAATAATTCACAAATAATATCATTTCCTTTCTTCATTTAAAGATTTCTCATTGATATATTTTGTATAAATATTTGTTATAAATATATTTTTCAAATCGATATCAATAGAATATCTCACAGATTTTTTGAGTTTTTCTATTTTTTTTTTGGATTAACATCATTTCTATATCGTTATTTTCTATATTCTCGTTTCGTGGAGGCAAGACCTGCGCGTTCATGGTGCCATGCCTGGAGTCCCTGCTGCGCTCGGGGCCGCCTCCTGCACCCCGGCCCGGGAGCCCAGAGTTCGGATCGAAGAAATCGAACAAATATAAAATAATTTTATTTTATTATTTTTTAAAAAAATAATTTTATATTAAGTAATTATATAAGGTTGTGGCTTAAGCTCCCCACGCCCGACCTAAGCGGGAACCCAGCCATATCCCGCGGGCTGCTGCCGTCGTTGCACGGCTTCTAGCCTTTTTCTTGTGCTCTTCCGGCTCTGTGCAAGCCGGAACCACCTGATCTGGTCTGCATTGGATTCTGCTGTCACCTGGCTTCGCCCTGCAGTTGTTTTCTTTTGCGGTGTTTTATAACCTGAACTGGTCTTACCCTGGGTTATTTACACGGACCTTCATCATTGACTTTGACTCGATACTCGGGCTAGCATCACTGTGGTTGCGCCTTGTTCCTTGAGTTGACCTTGTCCTCAAGTATATCAAGATACTGCATCATTGTGTATGTCTACGCCACGGTTCTACTTGATCAAGTTTGACCTCATTTTGCTCATTCTCATCATTGGTTTTGGACTATTGTGCTGGCCTGGCTGTTTTGGACAAAACGACCAACACACAGCGTCGCGCGCAGCGTCGTTCTCGAGCTCGTGCTCGGTTGGATTGGTATCTCTTCCAGAAAGGCTACAAGCAGCTCACAGTTCCCCAGCTTCGCAAGTTGCATTGGACCCTATCATCCCATCACTCTCGAGACCCTGGATTGGTGCTACGCATCTCAAAGGTGATCATGACGAAGATGGAAAAAGAATCCTGGCGTTGCGGATGGTGCTGGAGACTATGCAAGCAGAGCCATCAAAGATGTCCAGATTGTGGCACATATTGGGAAGAGCGCGATACTACATATGTCCATCAGGCACGAGGAGGAGCCAGCCCGCGCCGACGGAATCAGCGATGGGACGAAGAAGAGGCGACTACTTGGAGCAGTTGGACCACCCAATGGCCAAGTCAGCAGCCTCAGAGGCCCAAATCACCACGACGCAGTCAGAGCAGAAGCCGCAAGGGCAAAGGCAAGGGGAAAGGCAAGGCCAAGGCGCCTTATGCTGTGCAAGAACCACAGTTTGGGCCTGCAGCTCTTGGAATCCATCATCCAGCACCGCCCTGGCAACCAACACATGCGACGACAAGCACCACAGCTATGTCAACGGCACCTGCCGCACCTGCTGCGCTTGGGGATGCGCAACTGCGTGGGTTCCTGAACGAGATGAAAAAGATCCCGGACATGCCTGCAGACGCGCACACCATCATCCAGAAGTATGCGAAGAAGCAACGCTCAGCTACCACGAAGACTATGCATCAATCCGTGACGGACTTGAGCGAAGCTCGAGGAGCCTTAGATCAAGCTCGTCTTGCCCGACACCAATTGCATGGATCGTGGCGCACCTTCCTTGGGGAAGCGCTGGAAACGTGGCAAGCTTACACGGAAGGCTTCAAGCAACAGGAGGCAGCTCTTCTTGCTCGCATCGAGGATGCTCAGCAGAACTTGCACGCAGCCAAGGAAGTGTTCGAGGAATGCCGCAGCGCCCTCATCGACTTGTCCAAGAGCGATCAAGAATTGATCGAGAGTGCCGAGGCTGCGATGGTGAACGAGCAGGTGGACGATCCCACAGTGGCTCGGCTCCAGGAGGACCTCGAGTCTATGCACGGTCATCTCACTGCGTTGAAGAGCAGCGCCGATGCCATGGCGGTCGACTCCAATGTGTCAGCCAAAAGACCTCGGCTCGCAGAGACAAAAGACCCGACTGGAGAGGTCGCGGCTGGCGTGCCCTCTGCACCTGGGCCGCTGGAGCCTTTTGGCTCGGCCCGCAAGTGACGTCTGCATCGCTGAGTCCTTGCGCAGGCCATGTGGCCCCTGAAGTGAGTAGCCATGCCGCAATCTTGGCTTGGACTCACTCAGTATTGGAAGAGCCGACATTCACATCGGTCTGGCAAGCTTCTTTTCGAGCACTATGCCTGTCCTTTGACCTTGGTACACTGCAACCACGACGACATCATGATGCTGAGTGCTTTACCTCACGCCCTGCTTTGGGGAGCAGTAGACAGGTGAGGTTCAATCCCAATGTTTCCATTGCACTTGGCCTTGATGCTGATTGGACGTTGCAAAGTTTTGATATTTCGGAAGCATCTCTCTCTGCCTGGACCGACAAACCTTGGAGTGGAAAGCGCATCAGAACGCCCCGTTCCCATCGCAATGCTGATGAACGCATTTTTCCTCTGAGACATCTTCCCAATGGTGGGCAAGCTACTGATGCTCCGCAAGACCAACCTGTTGGACCCTTTTTGCATGAAGCACCGCAATCCATTCAAGACCTTTTTCAAGCACTCATGGAGGAGGACTTCATTGACGGCGAAGAACTCAATGAACCTGTTCTATTGAGAAGTTGGTATGTCCACCATCGCCGAGTACCTGAATGGAATGTTCCCAGATCCCAGGAACTTCAAGGACACTGGCGTTTTTGGGCAGCTGATATTCTGGATGGATGGCGTGATCAACTATTTCCAGATGAAGATGTTGCACTCGCAGTGGTGTTCCCCAATCCGCCAAGGAACAATGTGATGCAACCTATTGTATTTGACATCATTGTGATTCAGGGCCTTGACCTTCCACGCCGTGCTTGTTTAGCCACAGTATTGAGATTTCAAGACCCTCAACAGCGTGCAGAACGATCGCTTGCTATTTCACTGCCACATTTTACAAGTGCCAAGTACGTAGCAGCTCGTGCACATCTTGTTCAAGATTGCATTCTGCAAGATTGCACTGTACGACAGGGACGTGTCATTTTGGAATGGAGCGATGCACCTACACATGATGCCCGTGATGGTCAAAGTTTCATCATCCGTCGGTTGCCTGGCACTGCAGGCGCCAGTTCTTCCACACACCAGGCTGGCTTGCCGAGCACCTCTGATGCTCCAGCAGCGCATGCCCTTGATGTACATGAAGAAGAGCCGCACCAAGTTGAAGCGGCCCAAGATTTGGACTATGATTCCAATGTTTCAATGGCATCAACGGTTGATCGCCAGTCAGTCTTTGTGTATCGTTTAGCAGCACAAACCACATTTGGTCATGCGGACTGGTCATCGCACCAAGCAATGGTGGCTTCAGTTGCGCGGATTGCAGAAGTACCCTTGGCTGAAGTTGTCACGGTTCATTCAATGCAATGTCAACTACCAGATCAGCCACCCAATGTGCTGGCTGTGATTCTCCAACATGTGCAAGATATTCCACCAGCCTCAATGGAATGCCTTATCATCATAGATGTGGAACTGCATATGCACTCTCTTCCAGGTGCGCTTCCAGTTGCCCCACACAGTACACGGCAGGTCCACCGTGTGTATCCATTCCTACGGCGAGCCAACATTTTGCAGCTCACAAGGGTTGATGCCTATTGTGAATGGGTCCAAAACAGCTGCCTAGTCTACCATAATGGTAGAGGCTGGCCCATTTTGGAACTTGCTCCTCGCCATCTGCAGCACGGAGCATTTCTCAAAGTAATCATCCCACCTCCACCTGATGGGCATGGAAATACAGCTCATGCTGTGCAAGTTGCCCGCGAGGCTGCGGACCTATTTGATTTTCCAATGGCCAGTCAGGTGATTCCTGGACTCCTTCTTGCTGATCAGCCTGATGAGCCAGCCAATCCACCTCCTGGCAACTTCTATGTCCGGCATTGGAAATATCCTGGTATGCGTCGACACAAAAATGGTGAGGAACATGAATTTGATGATTTCCCAGTATCTGAACGCAGTCGGCGCCCCACTCAGATTGAGCTGCCTGCAATGGACTGGTCTGGAAACTGGATGCAGCAACTTGTGCAGCTGATGCGTGCTGAAGGCGAAGAGGAGATAGTTGATGGTCCAACTTACCTTTATTTGCAGACGTGGTTTATTCATCATGAATCCCACACGGTGTGTCGGCATCCTCGACCAGTGAGGATTACCAATGAGATCATCTCTTGGTCATATGATCTGAGACAAGCTTGGACAGACATGCTCGAACATGGTCGTGCAGTTCGTTTTCATGTAGTGCAGCCGACACCAATGAGGGCGCCGTTGCAGTCCTATGCTGGACATGTTCTCCTTGAACAAGCACCCTTGAATGGACGTGCTGCAGTCGTGGTCTCTACGCTCCTGGAGTCCCTACAAGGGAATGCTTTGATGCAGTTTGCGAGATCACTTCCCCGCTTTGTCACGGCTGATGATGTCATTCAGGAATCCGAATTGGTCCCTCATTGCACGGTTCGGCCATGTTCTGTCTGGATTGGACCTCGCCAGCTCAACATTGCGATTGCTACTGAACTTTCGTCTGGCAATGGCATACGAATCCATGTGAAGCCCATGCCATATGAAGCTCCAGTACAAGTGCCACCTCCCATTGTTTATGACAACGTTGATGAAGTCTCAATGATTCATGCAACATCTTTGCAGCCTACCTGCCTAATCCGGCAGCATCATTCTGATCATGAAGTTCGCCAAACCATTCAAGAGTGTCGCGATCATGCTGCACGTGATCCACCACCACCTCCTCATGAAGAAGATCAACCCATCGCTATTCAACAGTTGCTGCATGCATGGCGGCTCTGGCAAGATCAGCAAGGTGATCAAGCAGATGGAATGTTCACTGTT